AAATGTCTCTTTTGAGGGAGGTCTTCTGAGACCAGGGTCAAAGACAGGTGGAAATGTTTATTCCCCTTCGGGGTGACCCCAACACAAAGAATAAATTAAATAAATATAAATTAGCTATGAAACAATGGTTTGTTATTACCGCATGAGACTGTTAATTTAATCTTATTTGTCCAACATTAAAAGCACAGACAGTTTAAATTTATATGCACACACATTTATATTTCCATTGTATTTACATATTTAATCTCAGCCTTTTTTACATAAAGCTGGCATCACAAGACCCAGGCTGTAATATCTTCAGTGTGAATATGTATTTAATTGCTTTTGTAAACCAGGGATAAAACAAAGCATATATCACAGGATTTAGACAGGAGTTAATACTAAAAAGACAGAACACAACAACAGATCCATTAAATGATCTGTCCCCTGCAAGAGCAACACTATTATATGGGCAGAAACAAATTAGAAACACAACTACAAGAACACCAAGAGTTCTGGCTGCTTTCAGTTCAGTTTTCCTTGATGATGCAGTCACTGAATGTTGGAAAGTAATAACAGTGACCTGGGAGCGGATGGCACGGGCGTGAGAAATGGCCATGACAAATATTCTTAAGTACAGAATAATGATGGCAGTAACTGGAAGAAAAAAACTTACAATAAGATCAACAACTGCAGGAAAAAATTCAACAGAAAATGCACATTTTCCATAGCAGGGATAATATTTGTTCTTTAGACCATCTTTGAAAAAAAGAATTATGTACAGAGCAGAACAGAGCCAGCAGAGACAGATGCATGTCTGGATTCTTTTCATAGTGATTCTAGTGTGGTAATGCAGAGGGTCACAAATTGCCACATAGCGGTCAGCAGATATAAGGACTACAGTTCCAACTGAAGATGAAACAATAATGGAGACAATGTATAAATACAATAAACACATATAATCTCCAAAAATCCAGCAACTTGTTAGTCTCACAGTTTCGCCTGGAACGTACACAAAGCCGACCATGAAGTCTGAGATGGCCAATGAAAGGAGCAGGAAGTTAGTAGTTTTGTGGAGCTGCCTGGAGGACGAGAACAGCATAATAGAATATCTTTTACTAAATAATTTTGAATAACTAAATAAATAAATTATATAAAACATCGCCTAAATACCAAGTCTTAACTATGCTGTGCTCAAAATCACTGCCAGTTTACTTTAAACTACTAAATGTTGGTAAAATCCATCAGCTTAGATAATTTGAAAAACAGTCAGTATTAAAAGACATTTTTATTTGCCTGAAATGGGAGACTGAGATAATAACAAGCAGATTGAGAACCACAGTAACCACAGAGATGAGGGACAGCAGAAACCTCAGAAACACAACTGTGACCCTTGGAATTGTTGGTTTCCTACAGGAGGTATTGAGGAGTTGTGGAAAGCAGAGCTCTTCTGTATTATAGACTTCCATTATCAGAGGACAAACGATAAACGCAGCTGGAGCAGCCTTCTGAGCACAAATTCTGTTTGTTTCTTCTTTTATCTGTCACTTTGGCATCATTTTCTCAGGAAAGATTTGTCCCTGTTGTTCATTCTCCATCACTACCTCATAGAGTGCCACCTACACTCAACCCTCCCTGGGATACTATTTTTAGTTCAATGGTCTTCTCTTGTCACAGACTATTTTTTTACAAAACAATTTATTGTCTTATTTCTCTCACTCAAGCACTGTTTTCTTCCTAAAGTAAAACCTTAAAAAATTATTGTAGTTAAATGTAAAGGTTATAATAAAGCATGTGACAAATATTTATATTAAAATTATGATTTCAACACGAAACTTAATTTAGTGCTCTGTATCAGAACTGATGCATTAGATTTTTTTAAACACATGTTTATCAGCTATAAGTTACAACTTTATTTTTACAGTTCATGTCTTGTGGAACAAGCTGTAGATAACGACATCAGTTCAGATTTAGAGACACACATACTAAATGGTGTTCACAAAGAGATTGTGTGATGTTTTTTCTMATTTTGTCTCACAGTTGAGGTCTAACAGTGATGTCGATTACAGGCCTCTCTCATATTTTTAAGTGGGAGAACTTGAACAATTGGCTGACTAAATATTTTTCCCCAAGRATTTTAATTTCAGGTAATTTTATTTTATTTAATCAAAACTACCTTTTTTATATGAAAATATGAGAAATATGCTGTAAAACTTGTACACATTTAAGGGTTTGCTTTTCTTACATTATGTCTTAAGAATCTTTCASACTTTCTTTAAAAGTAAATGTGAAAGTTGCTTTGCRTTTACTCAGCTCAGTTGAGTGGAACCACTTGACATAATTTGGTTAAGAAAATCCAACACATTTTTGAGTGTATTTTTCCTCAACGTTCTAATTACTGTTCCCCATTGTCATTAAAAATATTTCCTATTATGAAAGACAGCTCTAACCCCATGCTTTTTAGAAGAGGGAGCAGAGAAATAGTCTTAAGGGGAGGAGCTAGAAGCAGATTTCAGCTACATAACAWAGTTTTGTTTGGAAAACAAACAATGTTGCAGATCTCTGCAGGTCTATGAAGATGGAGATGGATACTGGAGAAGAACTCTGCTTTCCACAATTCTCCAATACCTCCTGCAAAAAGCCWTGGCCTTCCTGGAGAGAATTTCTGCTCCTACAAATCATGCTGTCCTCAATCTCTCTGCTCACTGCAGCTCTCAACCTGCTTGTCATCATCTCCTTTTTCCACTTCAAGTAGATATACTGTAGATCTAATTTTACATTTTCTTTTCTACATTATTGCTTTTAAAATACAAAAGAAAATGCTGAAAATAGTTATTAATATTGTTTTTGTTATATCAGAGGATACCAGTGTTTACCTTATCAGAAAGAACACACTATATGTTAGAAAAGAACAGAAAAGGTCTAAAATGTCGAGTATGGTTCTGTGCATATAGCCGATTACTTCAAAAGCATTTTAATTAAGAAAGGAGCTTCAGACTGTTTTGTTTCAATGCAAGAGTTGTTGATTTGACATGCTTTCATCTCTTTTCAGGATGCTTCACACTCCAGCCAACATTCTCCTCCTCTCTTTGGCTGTCTCRGATCTCCTTGTGGGTCTCCTGCTGATGCCATTTGAAATTATAAGAAACACAGCCTGCTGGTTTTTTGGTGATCTCTTGTGTTATTTGTATAATTCARTGTCTTTAATCATAACATTTTCTTCAGTGGGAGACATGGTGCTCATATCAATTGACCGCTATGTGGCAATATGTGACCCTCTGCATTACCCTGCCAAAGTCACTGAGAGAAGAGTTAAATTTAGTGTCTGTCTATGCTGGTTCTGCTCYATTTTGTATGGTAGTCTTATTGTAAAGGCTGACTTTACAAAACAGGGTAGACCCAATCWGTGCTTGGGGAAATGTATAATCACTGCTGACCACATTGCAGAAAGTGTTGATATTATTGTAARCTTTATTGTTCCAGTTACCATCATCATAGTTCTGTATWTGAGAGTRTTTATCGTGGCAGTGTCTCAGGCTCGTGYCATGCATTCTCATATTAAAGTATTCACCCTGCATCTCTCAGTGACACAAACAAAAAAATCTGAGTTGAAAGCAGCCAGGACTCTTGGTTTTCTGGTGGTCGTGTTTCTGATATGTTTTTGTCCATATCACTGTGTGTCTTTTGTGGAAAATAATATGCTCAGTGACTCATTTTTTTCCTATGCACTCTTTCTGCTTTACTTAAACTCCACCTTAAACCCTTTGATATATGTAATGTTCTATCCCTGGTTTAGGAAAGCAGTAAAACTCATTGGTACACTTCAAATACTGCAGCCTGGCTCATGTGAGGCTAATATGGGGTACAAATAAATTAGTATGCTCAATAGAAAGATTTTGCATATTTAAAATCTGAAAAAAAACTTCCTTTTTAGAGAATAGGATAGGATTGATTGCTAATTAATTTCCCCTAAAATAATAAAGTTTACCCCAATGTTGAGTCTGTCTTGGCAAATTTCATGATAAATCAATATGTTTTTGTGCCCTCAATTGTCTGTTTTAAATGTATATAAAAACACATTTACATTGGCCTACAMAAGTATTCATACCCCTTKAACCTTTYGATATTTTTCACATTACAACCACAAACAAATACATTTTATTGGAATTTAATGWGAAAGACCAATGTGTTTGGGTAGAGGGGGTGGGGTCTTGCTTATTGGTTGTCCCGACGAATAGCCCTTCATCAAAGTAAAAAAATAAACTATAAAAATCTGAATTTCCTTTGTTGCATATTTGTTGAGTTGTAAGCATTTTTTGTATGTCCGGACACCTGCTTTTCAGATGGGGTGGGGGTGGGGGGCTTGTTGGTGGGACCGTTGGATTAGTGGATGGACCTTGTGATGGACCTTGTTAGTGCTAAAGAACCAAAAAAAGTTTTGATCCAAGCTTGGAGTGAGAGTTCAGGCTGCTGACCCCTGCTGACAACTCCTCAGTAAGAACATTCTCTATTGGCTGTGCTAAAACTTGTTTAATGATGCCATAGTGTAATTAGTATCTTTGGATTTTAGCCAAAAATTGTGATCTAGGCTGTGGGTAATTATTGTTGGAGAAAACATTATGTAAAAACACTCTAAATATGTTCAGAACTGCAAATCAATTAGTAAAATAATCTCATGACTTTAATACTTTGAGTTCCAGAATACATTTGTTAATTCTGTGAGAATATCAAATTTAACCAAAAGACAAAGTTAGATGTCACAGAAGCACACGTGGGAGTAAAGAAGTGACTGGCTGTGAGTCTAATTTAGCCAGGTGCAGAAATTTATGTTANTTTTAATACATTTTTTAATTTACAATGTTTAATTTAATATCTTAGTTGATAAAAAACATCTTATATAGGTAACAACATCTTATTTGCCATAAACTGATAGGACTTGTCAAAATTTTGAATAAAAAAACTGTTTCAAGTTGTCTGCATCTGAACAGAATAGGGCCTATCCATTTTCTTCAGTCATTGTCTGCATCACAGTTCTGACAGATTTAAAGAGCTGTCCTGGTGTATCTCACAGGCACCAATGGGCCAATTTCATTCSGAGAAACCTCTGATGGACTTTTTGTTTGTAGTATCTTTCCAATGTTTGGTAATTGATATTAAAGTCCTTTTCTGTACTTCAGATAGATTTGAGCAGCCGTTTCACGGCATAGACTGCCCTGAGCATCATGTTCAGGTGGTGTCTGGTCATAGGGTTGTCATGTGACAACCAACCCCATCAGGAATTTTTTTTGCTAGCAGTTGTGCTAGCAAGCACATGTTACGGTCTAGCAAAGAAAAATAACATTCTAACTATAGCTCTGCCTTTTAGCTTTCAAATGCCAATAAGTGTTTAATTTTAAATCCATTGTTTAAAGGCAATTCAAAATGATCATAAAAATAATCAAAAGTTACATTATGATGTGAAAAACACAATAAGTCCTTTCATCTCATTGAAAGATGTCACACTGCTAAAATAAAAATGTAGGTAGTCTGTGACAACTATTTTGGAAACTCACACACAAAAATTTTGTAACAGCGCTTTCTAGGAAAAAAAGATGTAGCAACTGTGACAACCAACCCATGTGAAAACCAACCCCGTTCTCCTCACTAGAATAAACACATATGGAAAATCTGTCAGGCTGCAGCATGGTTTATCACTGGAGGACATTCAATGTTCCAGCAGTGAGCACTTGTCCCTCTTCATTTTAAATGCCCAGTGTAATCAGACATGAATTAGATGCAGCTGAGTAGAAACAGCAATAAATATAAAAGGTAAAATTTGCCTGGCTACGAAGATACTGTCTCTTCCATAGACACTGGTTAGAATAATAAAAACACAGGATTCTAACATACACACTATATACACTGTATAGACTGCTTATATGTCCAATGCGTAAAGTTTACATCTGAAYTTGCTAAAATATTTGTTAAAAATTTTTCATTTGAGTTAAGTCTTTATAGTATGTTTGCCTCACACGAGCCAGGTTGCAGTATCTGAAAGGTGGCAATAAGTTTAACAGCTTTTCTGAACCAGGGGTAAAACAGGGTGTAGATCACAGGGTTTAGACAGGAGTTGAATAAAAATAGAAAGAATACAAAATATGCATATGGTGTACTTTTTAAGTCAACTTCAACAACAGAATAAGAAAAATACGGACACCAACATATTAGATATACAATCACAAGAACACCAAGAGTTCTGGCAGCTTTCAACTCAGATTTCTTACTTTTAAGATTTACTGAATGCTGAAGTGTGACAGCTGTCATATGAGAGCGCATGGCRCGAGCCTGAGACACAGCCACCACAAATACTCTCATACTCAGAACAATGATTACTGTAACTGGAAATAAGAAACTTATGAACAGATCAACAGTTCCTGCAGTGTTGTTAATGGAAAGTTTACATTCTCCAATGCAAGAATTACTTCTGCCTGACTGAATCAACTCATCACTCAAAAATAAAATATTGTAGATGACAGATAATAGCCAACACAGACAAACACATAATTTTACTCTTGCCACAGTGATCCTGGTGGAATAATGCAGAGGGTCACAAATAGCCATATACCTGTCAATTGATATCAGAACAATGTTTCCAAGTGAAGCACTGAGAACAACACAGGTAACATAAGAATAAGCAGTGCATATACTATCTCCAAACGACCAGCATTCCGTGGTTCTAAATGTTTCAATTGGCATCAAAAGGAATCCAACAAGAATGTCGGAAACAGCCAGAGAGAGGAGGAGGATGTTAGAGGGTTTCTGAAGCTGCCTAAAATCAAACAAACACATATTAGTCAATAACATTCTATAAAAATAAGGGCAGTAATTAAATTCAACTGTCAGACTTGGTAAATATATGTTTACATTTTTAACACTTAGAAATTAAATAAAAGGTATTATCTGCCTAAAATGGGAGACTGAGATGATGACGAGCAGGTTGAGAACCACAGTGATCAGAGAGATGAAGGACAGCACAGTGTGCAGTAGCACAGCTTCAGACCAGTGCAGTGTTGGCTTCCTACAGGAGTTGTTGATGAACTGTGAAAAACAGAGTTCTGCTCCATTTTGCTCCATCTGTTATCTCCATCATCAGAGTGCTACAGCAGCCTGACTCACTTTCTGTTATACAGCTGATTTTATTGGTTTCTCCAATTYCTTACTTCTTGTCCAATAATTTCTTCTGAATACTGTTGTTGCTCCTCCTTTGCGTCCCAGAACACCTTGCTTGTGTATCCTATATGATTTCTATATATATTTTATCTTCCTTTCATCTAAACTTATTCCAAAAGTCAACATCAATCATGTTAATAAGATATCAGGAAGATGCAAGGCATTTCAAGAAGTAGTCCTTAAAGTTGTTTGTGTGTGTGTTTAATTCAGTGTTTTTATTTTGTGTTGTAGTCTTCCTGATGCTGCTTTGATTGATGCACATTTTATGAACTACAAATTAAATAGTAACACATTTTTTTTGTTTATTTAAACTCAGTTCTGTTCAGTTACTTCAGTTTTTTTCAGTCATTTACATTTGGGATGTACAAGTGCATTATAATATAGTTTGTTACTATACACACACCATATTAAAAGTTTGGACCTCTTATAACAG